GGTGGGAAACCGGTTGGGTTGTGTCAAAGGGAGCCCCGGGAGCTGCCCCGCATCCCGCGGCTCCTGCCGGGGTGGCTCAGCGGTGACTTTGGAGTGGTTTCGTGCTCTCCCGAGGGATTCGGGGGCTCCTGAGCATCCCCGGGGGGGCAGCGCCTGTGCCGGCCCTGCGGAGCAGCGGGAGGTCGGGCCAGACCCGGAGCGTTCTGCTGTGTTGGCAGCGGTTGTTTTCCTTGGCTTCGCCTTGTTTTTAGGTTACTTTACTTGCAGCGCATCCAGACGGATGGACGGGAGCGGGGCTTTTGGCAGAGCGGGAGGTGCTGGGGGTGCGCGGGCCGTGTCCCTTCTCTCCGGAGGGTCAGCCGGCTGCTGTGGCGGTGGGGAGGTTTGGGGAGGTGAGGTTGTTCACCTGCTCACCCCGTCGGGGGGTCGGCTGGTGCTGCCGGTGGTTATCCGCTGTCGATGGTGGTTATCGCTTCCACACAGTCCGCAGAGCGCGGATTCTGCTCGGGGAGCCAGAGGTGAGATGGCCCCGTGCCCCAGGCCCACCCTGCTCTGGCATCCTGCTCGCTGGGTTCTCAGCCCTTGGAGAGCTCCGCTGTGCCTCAGGTGTGGTGCTGGGTTTGTCCCGGCGCCGTCCCGCCGGCTGTGGGAACGGCTCTGCAGGGAATGCCTCCATAGGGAAAGCCTCCCTAGGGTTACGTCTGGGCACTGCCGAAGATCGGCTCCCCCACAGAGGAGCGAGGAGCCCTCGCTCTGCAACATTTCTGGGTGAATTTTCGACTCCCGAGAAAGGAATGGGGTTTTCTGTTACATTGTAAATGGCCAAACATCCTGCCACATAGTCCTGTCTTGTCTCCCGTCGGGCTGAACATCAACTCTGTAGCTTTAGACAGCGTCTGCTTTGAAATGAGAGCTTTGTCCCTTTGATGGTGAAACCACCAGTCAAGGTATTATTTCCTAAAACTACCATGAGATCATCTTTGGACAAACAAACTCAAGCTGTACGAGGTGACTCTTTACTCTGAAATTGAAATAACCCGTCTCCTCTCGGCATCATCAGGGATTCTACTGCATTCTGTTTGTCTTAAAAACACTTTTGTTTTTTGCATAATACATTTGAAACCTGCTTATGCAAAATCTGTATGGGAAAGGATGAAAACAGCATCCATTTGACAGGTCCCTTGCTCAGTTTAAAGCTTGTTTTACGTCACGGGACAGTCAAGGGGGACTTTCCAGGTGTTGCCAAGCAGACTGAAGAGATTGGGATGGACACATAGGGAGCACAGCAAATAGCAGAGTACTCTATCAATGCAAATGGAGTACACACCTCTGCTGTGACCTGTCTTTCTGGCTTTTCTCTGCTGATGTTCCGTTTATCTGCCTGTGGTATTTCCTTGTCAGCCCAGGCAGAGGTGCCCTGGGAGTCACATACCTGCTCTCTGGGTGCAGCTCTCGGGTGCCCAGTGCAGCCTGTGAGCGGGGGCTCGGCCCTTGTCCCCACAAGAAGCTGTTCCTCAGTGGACTTTGTCCACAGCCCCAGCTGCTGCTTACCTGGTGACAGGCAGTGCGTGGGCAGGGCAGGTCTGCCTGCCTTTGACCTGCTAATGCGCTGGAGCTCACTCTGTATAATTGACCAGTCCTTAATAAATAGCACTGCTGATTGCTGGAGTTTTTAATTTTGCAGTCTGCCTGCCCTCTGCTCCCCAAAAAACCACACAAATCATGCTTTGGCTTTGTGAGGACGTGCAGGATGGGTGGTGACCGTGGCTGACAGCTGGTGGGGTTGGAGCAGCAAGTTGTAGGTTGCCTGATGGGACCTGTTGCGTTGAGCAGGACTGGGGCTCTCCCAACCCTAATCACGCCTTGTGTCCCTGCCTACCCTCAACCCTGTGCCCAAAGATCTTCATGGACTGCCAGAAAGGAACATGCCAAGTGCAGGCAGGGTGTGCTGGGGGTATAGACACCACTGATGAAAGCTCCTTTCCATAGCCCTTGTGTGTGAAATGTTCCCGGGCTTGCAGGGGATCACAGCCAGCTCTTGTCCGCAGTCCCCACGCACTGCGCTGGAGTTCCAGCCAGGGAGCATTTGCTTGAAAAGCCCCTTTTGTGCGTGACCCTGGTGTGGGGACCGCAGTGGGACAGCTCTGCCCACAGGCTGTGGACTCCTGGCTGTCCTGCTCAGGGCTCACTTTCCCCATGACCTTTCCTGCCTCCGTGCACTGAGGTGCTGCAAGCTCTGCTCCCTCGGCTGGACCCCGCGGCAAGGTCAGGCAGCCGCGCTCTTCCTCCACGAGCAAATCCTCCAGCTGGCTTGCGTGGCTGGTATTTCTTGCTTTCCTGTTTCCTCCTTTCCCTGCTGGGCTTGCAGGGTGCCCGCAGGCTTTGGCTTGGTAATTTGCCAGGGAGTTAAACCCATGATTACCGTCCCTGTCTCTTTGTGGTGCCGTGGGTGCAGGCCGGTGAGTGTCCTGCTTTGGGGCACAAATCATAGTTCCTGCTAGGATTAGATTCCTCTTGGCAAGAAGTACATGCCAAGGATCTGGTCCCACCTGAGGACTGTTCTCTTTCTCTGGCATCTTTCTTGGGTCCTCTGTGTTTCCAGCATGACCCTGTGCAGCAGTGGAGGAAGGCAAGTTAACCCACACTCGTTACTTATTCTCTAATTGAAATGATGAATCTGCCTCTGAAAGGCACCACAGTTTCTTTTCTCTCCAGAGAATTCCAAATGAGAAAAGGAGCATCTGGAAGCACTCTGCAGAGATGTGAAGACATATCTTCTACCCCCTTGCTGAGTGTTATGAACTTGGTTTTTGGAGGGGCAGCATGGTCTTGGCTCTGCTGTCTCTGTGCACTTTTATCCCTTTCTCCGCTCTGGTGTGATGCTTCTTTTCCAGCCCTGAGTTGCAGTCAGGTCTTGGTTTCATTAATGTGTAACTTTGCAGGTGAAATGATCATCAGGCTGGGGGTGATCTGTAGGTATAGCTGGGCAGAGGGATGGAATGAGGGATTGTTAGTCCTGATGTCACTTTGACTGGGTAGCTGTTGTTCTCTTGCATGCCCTTTCAGCATACCCTGGGGCTGTTCTTGCTATCCCAGCAGGCCTTCTTCCAGCTAGGAAAATCTTTAGAGTTTGGAAGGTACATCTGAAAGCAGAGTTACATTTGCAGCACATGAAATTTTCATTGTGTTGTGTGTCACAGGGAGGCACTACATGTGCCTGAGCTAAGTAAAATGGATAATCACAAAATGGTTCAGATTGGAAGGTACCCTAAAAATCATCTGTACCTCTGCCATTGGCAGGGACACCTTCCACTATCCCAGGTTGCTCCAAGCCCTGTCCAGCCTGGCCTTGAACACTTCCAGAGATGGGGCAGCCACAGCTTCTCTGGGCAACCTGTCCCAGTGTCTCATCACCCTCATAGGGAAGGATTTCCTCCTAACATCTAATCTAAATCTCCTCTTTTTTAGTTTAAAACCATTCCCCCCATCCTATCACTCTCTGCCCATGTAAAACATCAGCCCATGCACTGAGCAGACAGACAAGGGCACAGCTCTTGCCTCTTGGCACCATAAAGTGCTGCTGGGTCCTGGGTCCCCCTGTGCTACCTGCACCCATCTGCTCTGCACTGTCTGCCCCAGGGTTTCCTGCTGCCTATTCCATCACCTTCTGCCATCAACCTTTCCTCCTCCCTGCTGTCTCTGGTGGTCTCTTGTCTTCAGAGCACATCTCTCAGAGCATAGTTTAGGCAACTTTTAGTGCTCTCCTTCTCTGGGTGATGGTTCATAGCAGGGGTGTGGGTGGTTCTGGCTGGAGGAACATCATGGATCATCACATATCTAGTGGGACTGGGATGAGAAATCAGGGACTCAAAGGGCCCCTCTCCAGCAAGATTAAGCTTCCTGTGTGCCTCTGTGGGTGGATAAAGCCCTTGAGCCTGCCCTCAGCAGCTCCCCCACCAACTGCTGTGCTCTCTCCCTTCCAGATTCCCTGTATGTCTCCGAGTACTTCTCCCAGAGCGCACAGAAGCTGTCCTTCTACAGCTGGTATGGGAACGCCAAGCTCTTCCACTTCCATGTGCCAGAAGACACTGTGCTGCTCCGTTGGCTCCTGCAGGCATCCCGGGGGAAAGGACCCGAGTGCACCAGCATGGAGATCACAGTGTATGTATGTCCCTGTGCCAGGGCTTGCCCACACGGGTGTCCTGTCCTCTTGTCCTGGTTGCTCATGCTGGGGCTGGTTGGTTGTAGGAGGCTGGGCATCTGTTCCTCAGCTGCAGGAGCCACAGTTTCTTAATGTACAAGCACTGGATCTGTGTTTAAACATGGAGGAGTGTTTTGTGTTCATGTTGTCAGTGAGTCTGGGGCTGCCTGTTAGACCTGCTGTCCAAGAGACCCCTTAGAGGCACTGGAGAGAGCTTCACAGTGAGGATGGTCTGCTGTTCACACAAAGGTGTTCCTGGACCTTTCTGTGCCTGGCAGGACCCTGCACATGGTGCCAAAGGATGTGGCAGGGCTACAAGGGGCTTGAGTGGACCCAAACTGATTGGATGTGGACAAACTCCCCAGTACAGAGGAACTGAAGAGATTGGGGGCACTTTGGGAGGGCTGTGGCTGTGTGTGGAGCAGAGGTAGAAGAAGAATGTCATGTCCTGCACTCATAAGAGCATGAGAAGATTGTAAATGCAATTTCAGTGCAAGAATTGGGGTTAAAGCAGTACTTGACTTGTTGGAGGATTTGAAGTCAAAAACCTGGAAGAATTTTTGGAGGGTAGCAGGTTTCCTGGGCAAGTTGTGCCCATGGGGACACGTGGGTCTCTGGCACCCACTTCACAGAGGTCTTGGGAGTGACTGAAGCTGCTTGGCTTGTGCTTCCCTGGTCTGTCCTGGGCACAGACCAGTGCTCTTAGAAGCTGCTCTCCTGAGCAGCCTGTCACAGGCTTTCTGCTTCCCAGAAAGGTTTCCAGTAGTTTGGGGATGTGAGGGACAAGACAGCAGCTAAATGATCCCTCAAGAAACGAAGGCTAACCCAGACAAGCTCCAAGGGGTAACAACATACCACCTGTCACATTTGGTTCCTGGATCCATTATGTTCTGTTGCAGAGCAGCCCCAAAGCAAGCAAATTAAATGCCAAATTGACTGAATAAATATCTTGCATGTTAGTCAACTGCATGTGTTCCTGCTACTTCAAATGCTGGGCTGCTTATCTGGAAAGCAGAAGTGCTGGGGAACTGAAGTCTGCAATATGGGCCTCCTTGTAAGCATCTTTTTAGTCTGTCTGTCTGTCTACCCTCCTTAAAAGAGGAAATAGGAAGATTCAGATCTTAGCTGGAAAATGAAAGCTCTTTGTGGATGGCTTCCCCTATAAGGGGAATTTGCTGATGGTTGTAAAGAAGGAATAGTCTTGCAGCTGGGGCTTAACCTTAGTAAGTGTTGGAAATTTGCTTCCAGGCTTGATGGAACCATGTTAATCCTTATCTTAATAATCAGCCAAGTTAAAACAATCTCTAAATAAATCCTGGATAAGCTAATAGCAGCCAGCCCTCACCAGATGAAAATGAGGGCTCCTGTGTTCCACTTGGAAACATGGGGGTTTCCAGCCTGCTCCCCTTCCGATCCCAGGCCAACCTGGGTGTCCTCTGAGTTTGTATCCCGTTTTATCTTTCCAGTGTGTGTACATCCCTCAGTTCACTGGCACTCTGGTTTCTCTCACAGGCACTTTCGCCACGGAGCCCCTCCCGTGATCAACCCCCTGGGCACTCGCTTCCCTGCCAACGCCACCGTCCGTCCTTCCTACAACATCAGCATCACCCTGAGCAGTGCTGTGCAGAACACCACCTTCGTGAACGTCACCACCCCCGCTGCAGGGGACTGGTTCATCGCTGCCCACCTGCCCGAGGCTGCCGGCAGGATCGAGGTGAAGGTGAGGAGGGTCCCGCCGAGGGTCCCGGCCCTGCAGCCCTGCCCGGTGTGTCTCCTCACAGCCACAGCTGACCCCTGTGCTCTCCCCTCCTGCAGGGTTTCTCCACTCCATGCCCCTATATGTTCCAGGCAGATATGTTTGTGCTCAGACTCACTGATATGCCTGTCCTGGAGCCTGGTGTTCCCATGCCACACACGGTTGTCTCGCCTGCTAAGCCACTGCATGTCAAGTGAGTGAGGGCAGCGGGTGGACAGAGGGACACGGTGGGGAGGGATTTCCCAAGGGAGCTGCTTAGGGGGAAGCCACTGTTGTTCCCACGTGGGGCTGGAGCTGTGGGGGGTCTCTGAGCCTGTCTGCTGAGCCCCCTGCAGCAGTGGCAGGGTTTGCACGGGGAGCACACGAGCACCCTTCTCCAAGTCTTCCCACGTGGTCATAGAGGTTCGACTGCGGGAATTTTAGTTCTTTGAGATGTTTCCCTTGGGAAGGATTTTCACACCACCAACCAGGGCAGTCTAGCTCTTGCCACAAAGCCCTGGGGACTGTGGTGGGTCATGGCTGGCTTGCACTGAGAGTACAAGCTCTGCAAACTGCTGGTCCCTCCTCCCGCAGGGTCTTCGTCCCCAAACACGCCGCGGGGATGCGGTTCCAGCTGCGGAGCTGCCTGACAAGCGACCAGAAAGCGTGTGCTGTGCGGGTGGTGCTGGGCTCCATCACACTGCCCCAGTCCTTCCAGAAGACCCTCACCTGCACAGGGAGTGCAAACTGCAGCCTGGCCCTGGATTCGCCCCCCTGGGAGAAGTGGCTGCAGGTCATGGTGGAGAGTCTCGGCACTGCCAATGCCAGCGTGTCCGTGGAGATGCTGGCTTCTTTCACAGGTGGGATTCTGCTGCTTCCAGTCCTGTGGGAAGGACCAGAGGGAACTTTGTGTCTGCTGTGTCTCCCTTTGGCCCTTGGGTGCCTGGCTGTGGTGGCCTGCATCCCCCAGCATGCTGGTTGCCTCCTCTTGGAGGCCCAAGGCCTAATTGTTGCTTTGGGGTCAAAAGTGAAGGCTCCAGTGTTCACTCCAGAGTGATACTTGCTAGAGCTGCCTGTTTTGGAAATGCCTGAGAAGTCCAGGGTCTCTGAAGCAATGATCTTTTCCAAAGGTTGTTTGGGAAGCAGTGGCTAAGATTTGGTGTGAAGAATAGTTTGGGGTGGGTGTACCAGACTAATGCTGTGTTGACTATCAATTGGCCACAAGCAGGCTACAGACAGGAAACCATCTCACAGAGGTTTGCTTGGGGAAATGTCTGGGGTTGTAGTGAGGGGATGTTGCCATTTCAGGTGACACCTTGTGACTCAGGGGGTCACAAGTCCCTTGTGGTGTCTTTGCATCCTATTACCTGACCATAATCCCTGTTTGGCTGCTGGAAGCTCTCCAACTAGGTACATTTTTAAAGTTTTCTTCTGCTGGGGGTTCTGCCATCCCCTCCTCAAAGCAGAGCCTCATCCTGTGTGCTGGAAGACCTGGCACAGGTGTTAGAGGGGAGCACAAGGGTCTTTGGGAGCAATGGACAGGCTCCAGCACTGGAACTCAAGTGTCACACTCAGCTCCATCTGCCACAACGTGATGGTTTGTGCCTGTAGCTTCACTGGGTTGGCTTCTCCTTTCTGCTCAGCCTTGTCTGCTCATGTTTGGGGAGCTGGGAGAGACTTTTATGCAGCCTGTGGCTCTGGGACAGCCAAGTGCTCAGCTCTGCTGCTGGCTAGTGAGTAGTCCCTGAGTACCTTGATGATGCTGTGTTATCCCTTCTTCTCCTTCCCCCATCCTTGCAGCTCCAGGGTGCTTTCACCCACTGTACTGCTGTCTGGCTTCCAGCAGTGTCCCAGCTTGTGGATGCTCCCCCTGCAGAGGTGGTGCCTTTCCAGGGCTGCAGCCAGTGCTGCAGTGCATGAACACCCCCTCAGTTTGTGCTATCACTTGGAGGGCTGGAGCTGCTGGGGTCTGCCTGGCTGAGGTGCTGGTCCTGGCTGTGCTGATTCCTCTCCTTCTTCTGCTTTACAGTTTGCAGACCAGGAAGCGCCAGTTCCTTCCTTAACTTCATCAGCCTAAACCAGAGCCAGGCTGGTGCCAGACCAGGTACCACAGGGGCCGCAGGGAGCTCTGCTCAGGCTGCTGGAGAGGCTCCACGCAACACATCTGGCCAGAGGAGCTCCTGCCTGCAGAACCAGCCCGTGGTCCGTGAGGACCTGGATGTTGTGTCGGTGCGCTACAGGCTCCTCAACGGCCCCAGCGTGCCCGTGAACTCCCTGTCCCCCACCCTGCTCCTGCTCAACCTGAACACTGGCATGGACAGCGGGGGTTCCCTCGTGGTCAGTCTCCTGCTTAACAAGGTGCGGGGGCTGATCGATGGGGTTGTGTCCCCTTTGAGGGGCTTTGTCCCTGCTCCTGGGCGGGTTTGCCAGCACATTCCAGGGGTTGTGGGGCTACTTCTCTTTCTTTCTGTTGCTGCAAAACACCCTGAGCCTGTTCTAGCTGCTTCCAGCGTGTCCCCCCTGCCAGCTCCAACTCGAATGCCACAGCTTGCGGCCTGTGGCGGCAGTGACGCAGAGGAGACAAAACGGGAAGCAGCTGCAGTGCCATCCTCTCCACAGGAGCCTGGCACCTTGCCACCAGGAGAGGAGGCTGAGCAGGGAAAGCCAGGGATGTTCCTGCCCAAGTCACTGATTTCGAGGCTCCTTCAGTGACCCCCCCCCAAAATCAGCCACCTGAAATTCTATGAAACTTCCCGAGGGCTGGAGCAGGGCTCGGCCCTGATGTCCTGCAGCCTCTGGCTTGTGCCACCCTGTGGTGGTGTTGAAGTGATGTGTGTGTCCCAGCTTTGGGGCAGTTCCCCCGGGAAGGTCTCTTGCCTTTTAGCCAGTACATAACATGGTGGCAGCACAGGGTGAGATGAGCATGGGTTTGGTCAGAAACCTGCTGAATTGATGATGGGTGACCTGCAGGATTTACTGTCACCTGCTGCTGCCGTTTGCCATGGGCCCTGTGGGAGATGAACGGTGCAGGGGGATGGCATTGGGGTGCTGTGACATGGGACACTGCTCTGTTTGCACAGACATCTGTGAGCCTGGCCAATGCCACCGTGGTTGGATGTGTGAGCGCTGCCTCCCCGGTGCTGTCCCTCAACGCCACACGGAACTGCAGCACAGGTAGGAGAGGCTGGCACCTGCCACCAGCTCAGCTGGTCATCTCACTGCTCTGCCTTTAGACCTCATGGGCTGTCAGCTGACTCAGGACTTTGTGGGGTGTCCCAGGGAAACTGATTTTGAACTGACTCAGGACTTTGTGGGGTGTCCCAGGGCAGCTGATTTTGGAACAAACCCTCCTGAGGTCTTTGTGCTGGCACATTCCCAGGATGCTGGGTTGCAGGTGGTGGTCTGGCACCAGGAGTTAGCCTCCACCAAAGGAAGGTCTGGTTACCAGCTGGGGCTCTTCCAACCTTCTTAGCAGGAGGTTTGGGGATGGTCAAGGTATTGCTGGTGTGCAGAGAAGCTGAGCTCTGCACTAGAGCAGCCAAGACAACAGGCTGTTCCAGGTGCCCTGTGCTGTGCAGACAGGTACTGAGAATTGAGATAAATGAAAAAACAAGGGTCTTGGGAGCAGGGGTCCTCTCCATCCCCCTGGTGCCTCCTGAGCATGGGAGCAAGGAGCCACTGGAGCATCTGATTCCTGTGTGATCAGTCTTAGCCTGGGGTTGCTGTGGGCCCTTCTTCCCAAGTCTGGTCCATCACAGCACCCTGTTTTCTTCCAGCTTTTTCCCAGGGCTACCCTCTGAGCGTGAGCACATCCTCTGCAGAGGCAATGCTGATTGTCCTGTACCCTCAGACTGATGACTGGTTCCTGTCCCTGCAGCTGCTCTGCCCAAAGGGCCAGGGGTGAGTCTGGTGTGTCATCCCACCCTGGGGCCTGTTCAGAGCACTCTGCCTCCAAATCCCACTGGCCTTGGCTTGTGTGAGCAAAACTGACCCTCCGTCCTCACCTCTGGGAGGTGGGAGACAGTGGGCACCCAAATAGCTTAACCAGTGTCAAGCTGGCACATGTCATGCAGACTGCAGATGGCAGAGCCTGCCTGGGTGAGCTTCCCCTTCCCCTGGTGGATTTTGAGGTGATAAATTGGGAAATAATTGCTGCTGTTACCCTTTTGGGAGGTCTTAGAGATGCAGGCAGCTGTGCCCATACTCCTGCAGTTTGCCTCTCTGCTGGTTTTCTGCCTGCTGGGATGAGTGCATGATGTAAAAGAGTGGTGGTGACACTGGTGTGTCATGGGGGTCTGGGGAGAGCTGACACCCACCTGGACATCAGTTTGGCAGTCCAAGTGGAGAGGGAGTAGACTCTGCTCTGAGGTCGTAGGAGGGATGGAGCAAATCTCGAAATTAGCAGGGAGCTTGCATGCAGGAGCACAGTTAGACCCTCGGGAGCAGGGCTCAGGGCTGCCCAAAGGTCTGGGGTGCCAAGGGGACCTGCTGTCCTTGCAGAGAATGTCCCAGTGCAGAAGCCAAAGTGACGGTGTTCGCGTACCTCACCCCCTGCTTCAACGACTGCGGCCCCTACGGGCAGTGCAGCCTCCTGAGGAGACACGGGTACCTCTACGCTGCCTGCAGCTGCAAGGCTGGTGAGTGCACTTTCCTGGGAAGCTTTGCCATCCTCCCCGAGGGGAGGACACTGTGTAGGGCGGTGGTGTTTGGGGTGGGGAGCCTGGGGTCTGCTGTGGCTGCCGGCGTCACAGCGCCCGGGGAAGCACAGCTTGGGGAAACACAGGGTACCCCAAGCGTTATGGGGAATTGGGCTTGGAGGCTCCCCAGGGCTTGGAGAGGTGCTTCTGAGCATCCCCAGAGAGATTAGGGAGCTTGAAAATGCCTGTGTCAGAGTCTGTGCCTTTCAGGGAGGTTTGCTGTGCAGGTTCCTGGTGTGGGATACAATGAGTCCCTGTCTGTCTCCTGCCAAAAGCCTTAGACTCAGAGGTGCCCCTGGAGGAGGAACATCTGTGTCAGCTGCTAATTATCTTAATGGCCTGAGAGGATGGTGCAGTCTGTGCTGAGGGGAAGATGAGCTCTGCTGTGCTTGGGTGGCTCCGTGTACCTGTTCTCAGCAGAAGGACAAGGCAAACTGTGGTTCCCTGCTGCTCTGGGCCTGAGCCAGGACCTCCCTGCTGCAGTGCTGATGATGGGTGAGGAGTGAGAGGGAGATCAGCATCCTAATTTCCCCGAGGGCTGCCAGGTTCTGGGAAGCACAGAGCACCTCAAGGGAACTGGGGAATCAGGCTGAGGGCAGCTTTCCGCTGAATCACACGCAGCAAAATGCCCCATCTGCATATTGGTGACCCAGAAATAAACCAGGGAGAGCGGCTTCCCTGGGCCCTGCCTGGCAGGGAGGGGCAGAGCTGCTCTAGTGACTCTGGAACGGGATGGATGTTACTTTTAACTGAGCTCCTTGACCATGGAGTGCCTGCACATTCCTCATCTGCCCTGAGGCTGACCTCCTTTCCTCAAAAGGAGGGCATGGGCAGCTTAATCTTTAATTAAAATCATTTAAATAATAAAAAAATGCAGATTTGTGTTTATAGAGACTGTCTCAGTTCAGTCCTTGGTATCCAGTCAGAGGCTGAGAATTGTGCCCTGTGCCAGGCACTGTTCTGTAGGAAATTTTCACTGCCACCATCCTGTGCAGCCCTGGATGTCACCGTGGGCTGAGGCAGTGGGTTTGTTCACCTTGGAGGAGTTGGAGTGGGATCAAATTACAGTTTCTGCTGCCCACAGGGTTACAGGGACCCTGGAACTGGCTCTGCAGGGGGAGCACAGGGAAAGGGCAGGAGCCCAGACATAGGCTGCAGCAAGGAGGCTTCCACCTAAATCAAAGAAGACCAGTCTTTTCCCCCTCAGGCTGTTTGTCTTTGCACAGTATCCAGGTCTCCATCCTTGGAGATCTTAAAAAGTCAGTTGGACAAGGCCCAGAGCAGCCTGACCTGGGTTTGGGGTCTGCCCTGCCCTTGCAGGGGGTAGGACAGAAGCCCAATGGCTTGCTCAGTGCCGGGGATCATTCTCCACCCTGGTTCCTGGGACCTGTAGGGATCTTGCATCCAGCTCATACCATCATGTGAAGCATCTGAGCCTTGAATGCTGTTTCACAGCAAGGAACGTGTGTGTTGAGTTGCTGTGGGGATGGAAAGCACCAGTCTGGGTGTAGGATGGCCTCTGCTACGTGGGAATGACCTGGGGGATGTCCTCAGAGCAGACATGGAGCTCTGCTGGGGTTCCCTGACTTCCCACAGCAGAGCATGTGATGAGTAACGAGACCATCCTGAGGACTGTGAGTGGCTGATGGAGTGAGGGAGAGGAGGCACTGGGATAGTCTAAAGGTGTGACTGCATCTCCTGAGGCATCCCAGGCTCTTCCTGGGTGCTGTGGGATGACAAGGTAGGGCCTGTGAGATCCATAGAAGCCTCTCTGCTCTGCAGGTTGGGGTGGGTGGAGCTGCACGGACGACACCAAGGCCCAGTCCATCGGGGCACAGAACTTGGCCACCCTCCTGCTCACCCTGAGCAACCTCATGTTCCTGCCAGCCATAGCAGTCGCTGTCCATCGCTACTACCTGGTGGAGGCCTCTGTCTACACCTACACCATGTTCTTCTCCACGGTAGGGAACTGCCTTCTGTCGGGTCCCCCTCCAGCTCCCCCTGCCAGCTCCCCCTGGGCATTGGGAATGCTGCACCAGAGAGAAGTCCTTGGTGGAGCAGCCCATGCTGGAGCTCCACAGGGAGCTTCTAGGATCATTAGACAAGCACCTCCATGGACATGTCATGGAATCATGGAACTATGTTAAGGGGTTGGAATGGACCTTAAAGATCATCTAGTCCCAACCACCCTGTGCCATGGGCAGGGACACCTCCAACTAGACCGGGTTCCTCAAGGCCTTATCCAATCTGGCTGTGAACACTGCCAGGGTTGGGGCATCCACAACCTTCCTGGGCAACCTGTTCCAGTGTCTAACCAAACTCACAGTAAAAAATTTCTTCCTAATATTTAACATAAATTTCCCCTCTTTCAATTTGTACCTATTACTCCTGGTCCTGTCACTACAGTTCCTGACGCAGAGCCCCTCTCCAGCTTTCCTATAGCCCCCTTCAGTTACTGGAAGGTTGCTGTGGAGTCTCACACAACCTTCTCATCTCCAGGCTGAACAGCCCCAACATTCTCAGCCTGTCTTCATAGGGGAGCTGCTCCACTCCTCTTACCAACTTTGTGGCCTTCTCTGGACTTGTTCCAACAACATGTTCCAGAGCTGGAAAGGGTGTTCTTTTCCCTAGGGTCTTCAGCCCACACTGAGGGTGCTCGTATTTGGGGCTGGGACCCCAGGGATGGAGATGGGGTTGGAGCACTTCACACTGGAAGGTGCTGTCCCAGGAGCTCCTGGCTGCTGCTGGGAGGGTGCAGGTTGATGTTTGACCTCGCTTTCCGTAATGCCACAGTGGTTTGGTGGAGCTTCCTGGAGGCACTGCCTGCTGTGGGCTGAGCCTTCTCCTGCCTCTCCTTCCCAGAGCACCGTGTGGTGCTGCTGGATCCACCTGACCTTTGCTTTTGTCCCTGGCTGTAGTTCTACCACGCGTGTGACCAGCCGGGCGTCGCAGTGATGTGCATCATGGACTACGACACGCTCCAGTACTGTGACTTCCTGGGCTCCGTGGTGTCCATCTGGGTGACCATCCTGTGCATGGCCCGGGTGAAGAAGATCCTGAAATACGTAAGTGTCAGGTAACCCCACGTGGCCAGGCCAGCCCTGAGCCAGCCAAGCCACAGGTGGCCACGCTGAGCCCTCTCACCTCTGTATTTTAATGACCAGTCCGGTGACAAAGCCTGTTTGTCACCCAGTGCCACCCTGATTTTTAAACCAGTGGGTTTGGTTTGTCCCAGGAGTTTGGCTCGTGAACCTGCATGCTTGGAGGGACCTGGCCTGAAGGGACTGAGGTTTGGGGGAAAGGTTTGTGGGTTCTCTGGTTTCTCCATCTGAAGGTGTTTCTCCTGACTCTTGCATGGATGCAGGGCTGGGTGGCCAGGAGAAGAGGTCCTCCCTGCCTCTGGCATGGCTGGCTGTGCTCTGGCAGCAGAGGAGCTGCTGGTGGTAGTGGTGGTGTCTCTTTTCCAGGTCCTTTTCATCTTGGGGACCTTGTTAATTGCCATGTCCCTGCAGCTGGACCGCAGAGGGGTGTGGAACATGATGGGTCCCTGCCTCTTCGCCCTCGTCATCATGATTGCAGCGTGGGTAAGTGAGGGCAGCCAGGCAGGACCTGCTGCCCTTTGCTCCCCTGCAGAGAATGGTGGTGGCAGAGCAGCCCCATCCACAGGCATGGCTTGGTCACCTTGAAGCACCCAGGTGGAAAGGGCAGGGCAAGGGATTCACCTTCCAGCCCTCCACTAGCTGAGAAATCCCAGAAATCCCTTGGTTCTGGGTCTCAGCACAGTCCAGTGAGTGCACACCTGGAGCTGCAGTGCTGTCCCAAAGCACTTGGCTGTTGCCCTGGCCAGGACCTGTGGCATCTGTGCTGGGCTTTGGTGCCACAGCTGGAGGGGGCCTTTTGCACACAAGAGAAGGGCCCAAGACGGGGGGAGGCCACATTTCTCAGGGGCCACATTTCTCAGGCACACCCTGTTGCTGGGAGGCTGGCAGATGCTCCAGGGTCAGGCAGACCCTGCCTGAGCTTCTGCTTGGCTGCTCAACCCATCTGTGCTCTGACCCTCCCAGGTTCACCATGGAACCAAACGCAGACACTGCTACCCCTCCTCGTGGAAGCGCTGGGTCTTCTACCTCCTCCCAGGGATCACCTTGGCTTTCATTGCCATCTCAGTGTATGCATTCATGGAAACCAATGAGAACTACTACTACACCCACAGCATCTGGCACGTGCTGGTGGCCTGCAGTGTCGCTTTCCTGCTCCCTCCTCGGGACAAGCATAAGAAGCCCTGGGCTTGGTCCAAGAAGCTCACTTGTCGCTACCAGATCTGCCAGAACGACCGTGAGGAGCTCTACGCCGTGACCTGACCTGCCCAGCTCCCTCTCGTGGGGGTGGAGGGCTGGGGAAGCTGCTCTTTGCCTGGGCTGCCCCTCGCACATGGTCAATCCTCTTACTGCTCATCCCCTGGCCAGGAGGGCCCAGTGTGGACCGGGTTGAAAGGTGAAGATGGTGGGCTGGTCTTGTGGAGATGAGTTTGAGGCCACCTCTGCTTTTCTGCTGGGATGGGGCAGGCTCTTCGTGGTTCCAGATCAAGGAATAGCCTGTCCCCCACCTCCCCATGGCCCTGGGGGAAATTGCCGACCCTTTTTTCCCCCCTGCTGCATCCATGAGGCTTGGGCTTTGCCCATGCTGAGCTGGAGCCAAGGCTTTGGCTGCTGGGCTCTTCTCTCTGCCCCCTGTCCTGGCAGAGGCCTGTGGGACAGGGCTTCCCCTGCCATCCTGCAGTCAGCATTTGAACCCAAGAGAAGTTCTTCTGATCTGGGGGGCAAATGCTGCTGCATGCCCTTGGTGCTGATGGGGAGGGAGGGAGCTGATCTCTGGGGGTGCTGGGCCCGTGGCCTCAGCTTCCACCGGGGTCTGGAGCCTCTCTCCCTGTGAAACAGGTGCTGCTGCTCCTACCTGGTCCTGATTCTGGGGGGGGGAGAAGAATGAGGCTGGGACTTGGGCCCTGGATTCAGGATCAGACTTGGCACGAATGTGAAAAACCCCATGTGGGGACATGCAAGAGGCAGCAGCGGCATCTCAGCCAGAGCTGTGAAACCTGCAGCAGTGCAGGGTTTAGTCTAAGTTTAACTTGAGCTCTGTAAGGATCCAGGCTGCTGGTGTTCAGGGATTCACTGTTTTCCTCCTTTTCGGGGGGTTTGGCGTGGGCAGAGCTCCGCCTGGGTGGTCCAGGATGGTGCCTGAGCTGTACAGCCCTGCTTCTCCAGCCTGCTGTGCCTCAGGGGTTGGATGTGCTGCAGAGTCCTGGCTGATCTGAGGCCACTGCAGTGCCCTACCCCAGCCAGGAGCATCACCATGGTCTCCCGAGGTGGCCATGGTCTCCTTTGCAGCGTCTGTCTCACCTTAGCCTTACTTTAGGGCACGCAGAAAGCAAAGGCAGAAACTTGGCAACCAGGGAAGTTGTCTTTGCCCATCCTTAATCTACAGAAAAGGGCTCAAATCCATCGTTCCTTGCTGGTTTCATTCCAGCTGTGGTTGGTCTGGTGTGTGCTGCTGGGAGCCCCTCAGGTGGCTTTGGGGAGGAAAGAGCTACTAATGAAGGATTTGCCTCCTCGGGGTTATTTCTTTGCTTTGAAGAGCACCCAGCTCAGCTCTGCACTTTATCCCTCTGCCTCCCCTTCCTCTGCAAACTCCCACTTTTTAAGCCGATGCAGGACAAGTGAAGGACACTTGTCTGCACCCAGCAGTGTCACCCCCCCATCACCACCCGTGTCCCCCATCTTTCATTTGCTGCTGCCATCCAGGACAGCACGGCAGGAGGGGGGATGTTGGGCCCTCAGGGCTTCCTCCAACTTTGACCACTTTTAGGCACTTTTTTCCCCCTGTCTTGGTTTGCACAGCGGCGTTGTGGCCCCAGCACTGTGGAGGTGACCGCCGCTCCTTCACAGCCGTGCCGTCCGTGCCAGGCCGCCGGGGTGGCCTGGGGGCCACCAGTGTGACCTGGGGGCCACTAGTGTGACCTGAGTGTGCTGCCAGTGTGACCCAGGTGCCACTGGTGTTGACATGGGTGCTGTTGGTGTGACCCAGGTGCCACCAGTGTGGGTGTGTACTGCCGGTGTGACCCAGGTTCCACTGCTGTGACCTGCGTGCCACCAGTGTGACCCAGCAGCTACCACTGTGATCTGGGCACTGCTGGTGTGACCCAGGTGCTGCCAGTGTGACCTGGGTGCCACCAGCGTGATCCAGGTGCCACCAATGTGACCTGGGTGCTGCCGGTGTGACCCAGGTTACCTTGGTGTGTCTGTGTGCTGCCAGTGTGACCCAGGTGCCACCTGTGTGACCTGGGTGCCACCGGTGAGATCTGGGTGCTGCTAGTGTGACCCAGGTGCCACCAGTGTGACCTGGATGCTGTCAGTGTGATCTGGGCACCACCAGCATGACCCAGGTGCTGCCAGTGTGACCTGGGTGCTGCTGGTGTGACCCAGGTGCCACCAGTGCGGGTGTGTGCTGCCAGGGTGACCTGATGCCACTGGTGTGGCCGGGTGTCACCGGTTACCATAGAAAGCAATAATTCCTCATCGGGCCTTTCCCTTCAGGGATTTCTGTGCTGGAAGCAGGAGAAGCTTTGGGGTGAGAAATCCCACTGACATGATTGTTTATTTTGTGTTTGATTGTTCGTTCTGCTTTGCCCTCCCACTGCTGGCCTGGCCCGAGCTTGGGTTGGTGCCTGCAGCAGAAGGGGGGGTGTTAATTATTCTGGGTAAAATTTGAGCAAATTCCTGTGTCTGGGGAAAAAAAAAAAAAAGGTTATTTTTTTTCTTTGCTGTTAATACCTGTGATTATTTTATACGGTAAATTTTAAAGCTTATGGTTTTATAATTTAATAAAGGTGACGGTATTTGCGGGCAGGCACGTGGTGGCTGCAGTCACAGAATCACAAAATTATTGGGGTTGGAAGTGACCTCTGGAGATCATCCAGTTCAACCTGGAGCAGGTGACACAGGAAGGAGTCCAGGTGGGTTTGGAATGTCTCCGGAGAGGGAGATTCCACGCCCTCCCTGGGCACCTATTCCAGCGCTCTGACACCCTCAGTGTGAAGAAGTTCTTCTGCACAGAATCACTGAATATCCTGAGCTGGGAGGGACCCACAGGGATCACCAAATCCACCTCCTGGCTCTGCACAGGACAGCCCAACAATCCCACCTTGTCCCTAACAGCCCTGTCTGAAAACTTCTTGACCTCTTGGTAGCTTTAGACCTGCACTAAAACATTCACAGCAGCAGCTGTTGAGCCCGGAGGAGACTGAGGGGAGACCAACTCAGGCCGCTGCCCTGGGGAGCCTGTTCAGTGCCCGAGCACCCTCTGGGGGGAAGAACCTTCCCCTGACATACAACCAAACCTCCCCTGGCACAGGTCCAGGCCGTTCCCACGAGCGTGCTGAGGTGCAACTCGTGTTTCAGTTCAGCCCATCGCTCGTCCTGTCTCTGGGCTCCCCAGGGCGCCATCCCCTCGCACCGACCAGGCGAAACGCGGGCGCGGCGCGGCCCCTCGCGGCCGCCGTCGCGCCCCACCCGCGGCGGCGGGGCGGAAGCGGAAGCGGCGGTGCCGGCGGTCGGTGCCGGCGGTGCGTCCCGGTGCCGGTGGTCGGTGCCGGGTCCGGGGGCGATGCCGCTGCACCGGGTCCCGCCGCGGCTTTGGCAGGCGCTGCGTCTGCGGGAGGGCATCTGCGCGCGGCTGCCGCAGCACTACCTGGCCTCGCTGGAGGACGACACGCCGCCCACGCCGGTGCACTGGCGGCCGCACGGCCAGCGCTACCGGCGCAACCCGCGCACCGGGGCCCGCGAGCGCGTGCAGGACGTGCCGGTGCCCGTGTACTTCCCGCCCGCCGCCAACGAGGGGCTGTGGGGCGGGGAGGGCTGGGTGCGCGGCTTCCGATACGCGCGGAACGACAAGGTGAGCGCCGGGCCGGGGTCACCGGGGCCGCGGGGGGGACCGGGAGAACGGCCCCGTCCCTGACGGCCCGGCCGTGCCCAGCTCTCCACCAGGCTGCCCAAGACGTGGAAGCCGCAGCTGTTCCAGCGGCAGTTCTACAGCGAGATCCTGGACGCCACGCTGACCATCACCGTCACCATGCGCACCCTCGACCTCATCGACGCCGCCTTCGGCTTCGACTTCTACATCCTCAAGGTGCTCAAGGGCTCCCGGTGCAGCTGGTGGGGCTGTGCCCCTGCGGGCTGGGGGGTGATAGAACAGAGTCAGAATGTCCCGAGCTGGGAGGGACCCACAAGGATCATGAGTCCAACTCCTGGCCCTGCACAGGACACCCCAACAATCCCACCCTGTCCCTGAGAGCCTTGTCCAAACACTCCTTGAGCTCTGGCAGCCTTGGGGTCATGACCACCACCCTGGGGAGCCTGTTCAGTGCCCAGCCACCCTCTGGGGGAAGAACCTTCCCCTGATATCGAACCTAACCCTGCCCTGGCACAGCTCCAGCCGTTCCCTGGGCCCTGGCACTGCTCACACAGAGCAGAGATTGGAGCTGCCCCTCCCCACTGCCCCTTCTGAGGAAGGTGCAGAGGAGTGATGGACTAACTAAAACACATGAAGTTCCACCTCAACATACTCATGGAGATGGCACAAAGTTGTGTCGGGAGGTTGGGTTTGATATCAGGGAAAGGTTCTTCACCCAGAGGGTAGTTGGGTGCTGGAAGAGGCTCCCCAGGAAAGTGGGCTGAGTGGTGTCTCCCCAGTCTCCTCCAGGCTGAACAGCTGCTGCTGTTAATGTTTTAGTGCAAGCCTAAAGCTCCCAGCCTTTAATACCCTCTTGACTGGAGCTCTTGATATTAAAAACCAGAACCATGATCAAAGTGGCTCCAGAACAAACCCAGCGGATCTTTCCGCTCTCACAACGTGTGTCCTGAGCACCTTTGCAGTGCATGGATAACTTTCCAGTGCTGTCTGAGTGCTGGCAGACCGGCGTGTCCCCTGTCAGCTGGTCCCTGGGTGCAGTTTGACCCCAGCTCTCTTTCCCCAGACCCCCAAAGCTGACATGTGCTCGAAGCTGGGGATGGACCTGAAGCGGACGATGCTGCTGCGCCTGGCACGGAGGGATCCCAGCCTGCATCCCAACGACCCAGCCAAGAGAGAGGCCATCTATGACAAGTACAAGGTGGGTTCCTGGCCTGCTGTTTCTGCCCTGGGGTTTGTCCAGGCTGGTGGTGCCCCAATCACCACCAGTGTTGGTGCTCCAGGGTGTAGGCAGAGAAAATCTAAACATCACCAGGTTTTCCTTGTCTCTCTGTGGGTTCCCAGTCTCTGTGCTCACCATTTAGGAGCACAACAAGCAGTAGTTTTGCTGTGATTTGAGATCAGTGAGGGTCTGCAATAAGCACAGGTAGGAGCTGGCACTGCCAAAGCAGTGAGGATTTGTACTGACCCTGCAGTGAGGAGCCCAGAGTGCCCCTGGGCTGTTCAGTTTTGTGAGCTGGGGGTGGTTGCCAGCGTGGAAACATCACCAGCACCCACAGTCCGTGGAGCTGTGCCGAGAAACAGCCCCAGAACTACACAAAAGAGAGCTGCAACTACAGATCAGATAAAGCAGGACCCCTGCTAAGGAAAGAGGAGAGCAGGGAAGTGGGCTTTGGTTGCCAGAAACGAGGGAAGAGTGTTATAAGATTTGTCCACAGTTATGTTCTTACTGGATCATCTTTATGTCCTGGGCATAGAGAGGATTTGTATCTTGGTCATCTGCAAAGATTGTACCACCTGCTCCTCCTTTTACCACAGGAATTTGTGATCCCCGAAGAGGAAGCTGAATGGGTTGGCTTGAGTTTGGTAGAAGCCATAGAAAAACAGAGGCTCCTGGAAAAAAAGGTGAGTTCCTGAGGCAGTGCTTAGCACTGAGGTGTTGTGGCTGCACATCCAGCTGAGCTGAGCAGCCTGAGCACTCCTGAGCCACAAACCCTGTGGGGCTCCAGCTTCTTCAGGGATATGTTCACCCAAGTGCTTCAGGCAACTCTGATGGTGGGCAACGAGGGGAGGGAGGGAAGCTTTTTAGAAGGAAAGGGATCCCTGGGAGCTGCTGATGTTTCTCATGTGCTGTCAGGACTGGGGAAGCTGCTGAATGTCCCACACAGGTGCCTGTCATCTCTGAGGGAGGACTAGAGAGCTGAGCAGCAGCCGTGGCTGGAGGATCAGCCAGTGAAGAAAGCCTGGTCACATCTTCCTCTGGTTTTACCTGTCAGCACTCCCTGGGCTCCCCACTGCACTGCTCAGGTTCACTCCTCAGTGGTGTCTCCTCTGCTCTGTTGCAGGACCCTGTCCCACTCTTCAAGGTGTATGCTGAGGAGCTCGTCAACCGACTGAAAGAACAGGCAGCCCAGAAACAGTAGAAGAAAACAAACTTTTGGAGCAGAACCCCTGCTGTGGATGGAGCTGTGGGGTTCAGTGGGTCTCCTGTCTGAACCACACTGGTGGGGAAGGGGCCACGTGAAGAGTGTGCCCAGGAGCATGTTATTGAAGTCTAATGACAGCTTAAATTCAGTGAGGACCTGCTCCTGTGGGCTGAGGAAGGAGTTTCTGTGCTGTGGCCTCTGAGAGCCTTCCTGTCAGACTGACTTAGTGTGGTTTTTTTGCCTGTACAAGCAGTTGGCTGCTGTTGAGAGCTTGATCATGATATAAAATGAAATATATTTTGGGAATATCAGTAAACTTTTCTAACTTTTCTCTGATACTTACTGCCCATTAGTGTGTTATAGCAGGGACTGTGAGACACTGTGCTGGTGTGACTCAGATCAGTCCCCAGCCTTGTGCAGCAGAGATGGTTGTGCCCCCAAAAGTGTGACCTCAAACCCCTGCCTCAGCAGGTGGGGCTGGGCCACACAGCTCACTAACCTCTGGGTTACTGCACTGTTTCTCTTCGAAATTGGTGACTTTTAAATCTTTTATTTTGTACAAATGTAGTTGAAATGGGTGTTGAAGCCTTTGCTGCTGTCTGGCAACAAGGGAGTGCAAAGCACTTGGCATAATTACAGGCTGGTGAACAGCACTGTGTGTCCCTGGTGTTGTTTGGAAGCTTCGTGGTCCTGCAGTGAGTTTCTGGGTGGATCAAAACCAGCCTCTCCCCCTCTCCCCTCAGCTCTGAGGGGAGGGACAAGCACAGAGCTTGCAGGCTGGACCTTTTGTGAGCTGTATCTCTGGATCATTACTTGCCCCCAGAAGAGACTTCTCCTTTAACCATGTCTTGGGCTGAGACATGTTCCCCCTCTCTGGCTCATCAGGGCAAGTGCACTGCTCCATTTGTGAGCCACAGTGGCTGAGGAAAGAGAAACTGGGCTTGTAGAGCAGTGTGTGGTTCGTCCCCTCTGCACTGGAGTGCAGTAGGACCACGGGGGAGTGGCACCCAGTGCCTTAAAGATTTGGGGGAGAGGAGGTGCAGAGGCAGGCACTGGGTAAGCACAGAGCCTCTGCAGGGCTGTGCTGGGGGTTGGGGTGAGGGACATGGTTGAGTTGAATGTGATCTAAACAGCATTTCATGAAGATCAGACTTCTCTGCTGCTCCTTGGGCCAGGGAAGGGGCTGGAGCCCTCCCCAGGGGTACTTGAGCCCCCCAGGGGAGTGTGGCACAGCCCCTGACTGGTAGGGCTGGCTGGTTAGGGCTGCCAGGCTGAGGCTGTGCTGCCTCTGCAGGGGCACGGGAGGGACAGGTTGGGTGGCAAAAGCTGGGATGTTTCCAGCCTGTGTGTCCCGGCTCCAGTGAGTCCAGGTTCTCAAGAGCAAACTGGCACAGAAGGTCACATTTGCCTAATTAATGATTGTGCAGCTAGGCCAGCACAATGAGATTTGCTTATCTCCTCTCTCTGCTGCAACTGAGCTGAGTGGGAAGCTGCTGCCCAGCTCCTCGGGGACCCTGACACTCTGCCCTCGTTAGAGATAATTAGCTGGGACAAGCTCCTTGTTTGACAGCTCTGCTCATCATTAGGGCCAGCGCAGCTCATGCATTTTAATGCAGCTCCCAGCAAAGCTCCAGACCGTGGCTCTGTCCTGCCCCCCCTCCATGGCTCTGCTGGAACGTGCCGGCACAGCCCCGGCCCCTCGAGCCCGGCTGGCGCCTGCCTGGGTCCTGCTCTCAGCCCTGTGGGGGTCCCGGGTGCCTCACA